CATTATTTTAGCATACTATATGGTCGCTTTACTTTTTGTTTCACAAATTAACTCATTATGTGACATGTTTTGCTACGGTGTGTGTAAATGAGCTTTCATAAACGTACACTTCACTGCTCAGAAATAATTTCCGATCGCTAACATTCTCCTTCAGTAAGCTTAGCTCATTTACATGGCAAAACAGCTTAAGCAGTTTCAATTATCGCCGCTGTGATGCAAACATACCCTACATGCACCCCAGCACATGGACCATTGTTAATTAATGAACTACAAGCAGAACCAAACGACCTGCGCTAAAACGGCTCCAATAACCAATTAAAATGCAGCCCAGTTGGCAGCGGTGACTCTGCCTTATATTCGTCCCCTCATTACCAGCACATTTAGCTCTGGAAATACAAGTTGATTGGTCTGCAGACAGTGTGAGCTTTATTTTTGCACCATCTCTTCAAATTAGTCACCGTGGGCTTTTTCTGGTGTATGTCAGAATTCAGTCTCTTTTCTTACTGCATGCTTTGTTCGCTCTTTGTGCTTTCGCTTCCTCCCCTAATGCTTAATACAGATAAGACTCTGTTGGAACAATGCATTGAGCCACAGATGGCCTGTCGAGGCATTTACATTATCTGGATACACGCTCTATCTGGCAGACCATATTCAACCGCACCATCAGATTGTGCGTGTTCACTTTCAGGCTTTACTTGCAAAGATTTTTGTGGTGAATCTGCTTTTTGTTTGATATAATTAGAAATGTAAAGGTCAAATGTGTGATTTTTGTGCCAGTAAATTAAAATCAAATATTATTTGAAAAATGAAAAAAGTTTGGGGTTTTGACACTAAGGGCTCTATTTTAACGATCTCGGGTGCAAAGTCCAAACCTCATGGCGCAAAAGCATTAAAGGCATGTCCGAACCCACTTTTACTTTTTTTAAGGATGGAAGTAAGTAAAGTTTATTTATAGGGATGTAACGGTATTGTAAATACCGTCATACCGCAATATTAATTTTTTTCGATATTACTGAAGTCGCATGACTCGGTAAAACTATAGGTCTTCTGAGAAAATTTGCTCAGGCGAATGAAGCGAACGGGAGGTAGCGAAAACTACAATTCCCATCAGCCCATGCTTGACCATCATCCCTTGCGGTCTGTTGTCGCTACAGATCCAGTAATGCGGAAATGGAGTGTGCTGCTAGAAGCGGGGATGAAAAAGAGCTGTAAAACTCTAAAGCGGGTGTTGTCGCCGCGCGCGTACTGAATAGCGGTGTTGTCGTGCGAGTTCTTATCAGCTGTGTTGTCGCGCGCGTACTGAATAGCGGTGTTGTCAGCACACTGTTCAGATTGATGCAGACATGAGACCTCTATCTTATCCATGGTTTGTCCTCTCAAGTGGGGGAAAGACAATGCACAACGTTACCCACTGCTGTCAACCTGGGCCAAGTCATATCTCTCTTGTCCCAGAAACCTCAGTCCCAAATGAGAGGGTTTATTTTCTGTTGCAGGGGACATTGTAAATACCCAGAGATACCAGCTTTTACCAGATTATATTTATATGATAATTTTCCTTTAAACCCATCTCTATCTAAGTGAGTAAGTGATTAAATGTTGAATGTGATGAGTTTTCAACACTACTAAATTGAAACTTAATTTTTTTACATGGTTTAATATTTTTTTGTTATTAAAATTGAAGTTCCTGTTTCAAAGCTTACAGATAGATGGCTAATTTGTATGTCATTGACACTTTTGGCACTTTTTTGGAGTATTTTCATAAGTTTTGTTTTTTCCTGTAAATGATTCAATAAATACCGTACTGTGACATTCATACCGAGGTATTACCGTACCGTGAAATTCTGATACCGTTACATACCCTATTTATTTAATAAAGCACATTTAACTTCAGTCTGGCACTGACCAAAGTGCTAAAAAAAACCGTAGCACACATTTTAAAACAGTAAAATAACAATGAAAGTAATAATAAGAATAATAGTATTACAACAACAAAGCACAATAAAGATTAAAAGCCTGGGAAGGCAATAAAATAAAAATGTGTCTTAAGTCTGGACTGAAATATATAGAGAGAGAAAGCACTCGTAATGTCTGGTGGTAGCTGGTTCCACAAACGTGAAGCAGCAACTACAAAGGCTCTATCCCCTTTCACTTTAAGTCATGACTAAGGAATTTGCAGTTAAATTTTATTTGACGACCTAAGAGACCGAGGAGTTGACTGTAGGTTAAAAAGTTCTGATATATAAGAAGGTGCTTGCCCATTCAGTGCTTTAAAAACAATAAGACCAACAGACACTGAAAAAGTGTCTGTTGCAACCGATGAAGTGCTAAACCCTTTATGCCCACCCAATGTTCCAGACGTGACATAAGGATCTACTGTATCAAAAGCAGAAAATCTGCTTAAATCTGCATTAGTGCCAGAGTCTACAGACAGCAGTAAGTCATTCAACACTTTTAACAGAGCCGTTCAGATGAATACGATGTGCAGTTTGCATCCCGGCGCATGGTCTAACAGGGTTGTGCTTATTCTATTAATGAGTTATGGGTGTGTTTTGAGCATAATGTGCATTATCAGTCTCATCTCCCATTCCCTTTTATGGTCATTTGCGTCATGCCATGGCGCATTTACTTTATACATGGTGTACTTTGTAAGTGGAAAAACTGAATGGACAAACTGAACGCTTCACTAGCGAGAAATCAGTTTGACAGGCCGTCTGCTGCGTGAGGATACAGAACGAGCCTCCTCCATTCGGACTCTTTACTTTCTCTTTACTTTTACTCCATCACTAACCGGTGATTTACGCACTTCACTGAAGACATCCATTAGTCGACATGTTTAGTTTTGTTTAAACGCAAAGATTTATTCCAAAACTATTTCTATATTCAGTTCCAGCAAAGGAATAAATGAACAATAATAACAAAGTGTGGTAAAAAAACTGAGTTATATCCAAACACACATGCTATTCTTACCCCATATGGTGATGCAGACGTCTTCAAATTCCGACAGGTAGACAAATCTAAACTTGTTTTCATTAAAACAAATATAAATATGCATATAATAAATACTACTGCTAATAATAATAACTTTATACTAAGAATGATAAGAATAAACAAGAATAATAAGAATTGTCATGAATTAACTGAAAAAAGCCCCCTGAGGTGAGGCATGGAGGTTTTTATATCTATAAAGAAAGTAATAATTTTTGTGACATTTTAATCCTTTATTTTGTTTCATTTGTAAAGATATTTGAGTGTTGCTCTACATCCTGTGTGTATTAAGTGTTTGAACCTGCATAGGCACATAACTAACACGCTGTGCGCTGCACTATAGAGCAGCTATTAGTTGGTCAATGTGCGGTCTGTTTCAGTTCCTCAAAATAGCAATGCGCCATCAGCCTTTAGCTTGTGACTCTGGAGCTTTGGAAACTTAAATACTATATATATATATATACAGTTGAAGTCTGAATTATTAGCCCCCCTGAATTATTAGGTCTCTTATTTATTTTTTCCCCAATTTCTGTTTAATGAAAAGAGGATTTTTTCAACACATTTCTAAACATAAGAGTTTTAATAACTCATTTCTAATAATTGATTTATTTTATCTTTGCCATGATTACAGTAAATAATATTTGACTAGATATTTATCAAGACACTACTATACAGCTTAAAGTGACATTTAAAAGCTTAACTAGGTTAAGTAGGGTAACTAGGCAGGTTAGGGTAATTAGGCAAGTTATTGTACAATGATGGTTTGTTCTTTAGACAGTCTAGAAAAAATATAGCTTAAAGGGGCTAATAATTTTGTCCCTAAAATGGAGTTAAAAAGATAAAAACTGCTTTCATTCTAACTGAAATAAAACAAATAAGACTTTCTCCAGGAGAAAAAAAATATTATCAGACATACTGTGAACATTTCTTTGCTCTGTTAAACATCATTTGTAAAATATTTAAAAAAAAAGAAAAAAATTTAAAGGGGGCTAATATATATATATATATATATATATATATATATATATATATATATATATATATATATATATATATATATATATATATATATATTTTTTTTTTTTTTTTCTTTTTTTTTTTTCTTGAAATTAAATAAATGCTAAATAAACAAATAAATTTACAAATGTATTACAGATAGTTGCCAATCAAATTGCCATGTATTTGTACATGTACATCAAATAATGGCACTTTTTTAAAGTACGTTATTTCAAGTGGCTGCTAGCTAAAACATTTTAAACATTTTTATTTAGTTTACCTTAAAGCTAACATATTAAAAACTAATCTAAAATGATACAAATCTACAAACACTACAAAATTTTATTAAAATGACCAATGCAAAAAATGTAAACAATGTAAAATTAAAGGAATAAACTAAAACAAATTAGAACTATTAATAAAACTGCAATAGTCACTGGTTTAATTATTCATTCATTCATTCATCCATTCATTTTTGTTTTTCTTTTATAATTTCAGATAAAAACATGAAACTTGGCATATAAATGCATTTCGAATTGTGAATAGAAAAAAGTAATCTATAAAGTAACACTTTTTGTTTTCTTCTTCAACAATTTCTATTGTCATCTTCAAATTATTAACTAAAGTGACTGTTTCAGACTGGTTTTTCTAAACACTCCCCCTAGCTGTCATTGATCAAACCACATCCCAGTTCCACCTTATTGCATGAACATTTTATTCTAATAAACCAACCTTAAATGCTACTTAAAGAGGACATATTTCAACATTAAATTATACACGTGACCTGTAAAGTGTGTGAGCCCATATTAGTCAAATTGGGAATCTATAGAAGAACGTATCCCGAAAACACTAACTGACTGAGACCAGTTTGCAGAAATAATTCAGTGCCTATTAGTTCAGCTTGAATGTTCACATATTAAGCATTCTCACTTAAATGGCAGATCAAACACACTTTAGAACACTAAGTGGTCTGCTAAATGACCAAATGTGTGTGTAAAATGTGTCTTTGTGTCTCACAGTGCTCGGGACCGTCCCGGCTGAGTGCCAGTGCAGAGATCTGGAGCTGGACTGTGATGGTGCACACTTTAAAGACGTCCCAATGGTATCCATTAATGTCACCATGATGTGAGTTTCTTGCTGCAGTTTTTGAGTTTGTGAGACTCTGATTGGATGTGTACGAAATGTGGCTGCACACAAGCAGGCTGGTTTGTTTTCTATAAACGCTGAGCTTTTAGGGGACTGAAGAAACATTGGTGCTGCCAAATAATTCATGAATTTTATGGCTATGATCACACTGTAATGTTTCAACAATTCATAATTACACTTAAAGGGATAATACACCTGGAAATTAAGGCAGGGAGAACATGCAAACTCCACACAGAATATATATATATATATATATATGAGAAAGAGAGAGAGAGAGAGCAAAACAGTGTGTTCTCTGTTTTAATTTCTAATTTATACTTCTGCATTGTGCGATCTACCTAAAGAACCGCAGATGTACATTTCAAGAGTTCTCACTTAGATATGCTTAGTATTTATAACAGGTTTGGCATGCTGTCCCGGGAGAGAACCCTGAGCTCGGAGATATTTGAGCCCAGGGCTCCCGCCTGGTCAATGAGCATATCAGGAGATCAGAGATCAGGTAGGTCTTGAGAGCTCCCCCTTTAGAAAAGGGAGGATAAGGAGGAGATGGGGTGGAAGAGGGGATTGTACCAAAACGAAGATAGAGCAGTAGGGAGAAAATTATCCATTTATAGTAAACTAGGATCACTCTGATTGGATTATTACTGATTACAGATGCTCAATGATATCACGTGCTCCTCTTAAAATTAGTTTATGAAATTTCAATTAAATGTTATTAATAACAGTTTCATTTTGCAAATGCCACTAATTATTGTAAGATGATTTGCTATTCAATGCATACTGAATTTTGAATCCTGTACATTTTTTACATTTTCTTTACTTTTCCTGATGTATATCAATGACCTCCCTTAGGTAATTAAACATTCAGATTCTTTATTGTATGCAGATGACACTGTACTTTTTGTGTCTGGATCGAGTACAGACACAATTAACAATAAATTAAATACAGATCTTCAGCATTTACATGAGTGGCTGCAAGACAATCATTTGACTATTAATGTTAAGAAAACAGAATGTATGTACTTTTATTCACCTAGGAAAAAAATATCCATATCCCATCCCCCCACTTTCTCAAATCAAAAACTTTCCATTGTATCCACATATCAATATTTGGGAATCAGTCTGGACTCTCACCTCACTTATTGTAACCATGTTCAAAATGTTTATAAAAAGCTGAAACAAAAGCTATTTGTTTATGGCAAAATTAGGACAAATTTGTCTTTTTCTGTTTCAGAAACGTATCTGCATGCCATAATCTTGACTACCTTGTCCTACTGTCTGCCTATTTGGTCTCTCACAACAAATGATATCTTGGAGCCAATAGCTAGACTGTACAATAGGGCCTATAAGATACACAACAGACTTTCTGGATGGACACATCACTGTTTTGCTCTATCACTTTCTAAAGCTTTAACATTTCAAAACTACATTATGAACACAGGTGTCAAACTGTACTATCAAATTTTAAATAGCTCTACCTCAGCAAAATTACCTAAACTTAACACAAGGACTGATCGTTCCACCAGATCTGTAACAAATGGATGTTTGCCAGTACCGGCTTTTAAAAACTGTTATGGACAGAGATCTTTCTTTTATGTATTCACAAGAGTCTGGAATGAGATCCCACAACATCTCAAAACAATACCAACGCTGAGACTTTTTAAGAAATCCCATGCTCGTCATCTGATGGTCAACTATCGCTGTAGCCACTGAGATAGTAGCCTGCTTTTTTTCTTTATCTTAAATGTTTGGTGATTGTTTGTACTGTGTTGATGGATGAGATGTTTGTCTGTTTTTATGTTCTGCAGAGCAGGAACCTGCTGAAAAACAGCATTCATGCTGAGTCAGGCCCGATTATCTTTTAATCTTTTCCTGTTTAAAAATTAAAAATAAATAAATAAATAAATACATGTGGATTTAATTCAAATTTTTATGTAGCATTAAAATCTCCACATTAGTTTTGCATTACACTTCTGTTTGGACCTGCAGAATTGTTATTTCGCAAAATAGTTAACCTAATATTTTTCAACATACATATTGTTCATATTGATTCAGCAACATCCCATTGGGTGAATGTTTAAGAAATGTTTTACATATTCAAAAAGGCAACACCAAAGTTCCAAAAATGCTAATTTATTAAATTAAAAAGGCTCACACAAAGCATTTTTTTGGCTGAGCGCCCAGTTAAGAGTGATGTGAGAAATGTTTTACCACACTATTCCTGAATTTACTCTTAATATTAATTTTAAAAGGGACTTTTTAAATTAGTTTTTTATGTTGTTTGTGAGGGCGAGGCAGTGGCGCAGTAGGTAGTGCTGTCGCCTTGCAGCAAGAAGGTTGCTCGTTCGAATCTCGGCTCAGTTGCCGTTTCTGTGTGGAGTTTGCATGTTCTCCCTGCCTTCGCGTGGGTTTCCTCTGGGTGCTCCAGTTTCCCCCACAGTCCAAAGACATGCGGTACAGGTGAATTGGGGAGGCTAAATTGTCCGTATTGTATGAGTGTGTGTGTTAATGTGTGTGTGGATATTTATTTGTGGATGGGAAGACGTGCTGGATAAGTTGGTGGTTCATTCCGCTGTGGCGACCCCAGATTAATAAAGGGTCTAAGCCAACAAGAAAATGAATGAATGAATGTTGTTTGTGTTTACTTTCATTTAAAAATATTAATTGTGTTTTATGCTGCAATGGTTTGTTAGTAAACATGCATATTATTAAGTACATGTTATATGGAAAAAAAAAAAAAAGAAAAAAAAAATATATATATATATATATATATATAAAAGGGTTTTTATAACTAATAATGAATATATAGTTTAATAACTAATATGAATTAAGTTTTTTATGCATCTTTTCTAGGCTAAAATGGAGCTAAAATGTGGTTACCCTATTAGCCAGCACTCAGTTATGGCGATTTACACCTACCTAATTTCAAACAGTTCTTGACCCCAGTGAGCTACAAACAAAATTAGGCATCATTGGAAAGAAGACACTTTGAGCTTTACTACCAGAAAGTTTCATGATAAAAAATATTTTAAATTCAATATTTGTTTGTCCATATGCAAACACAGGAAATCAGTTTTGTAATAACCTAGGGAAAATATGCCTTGAAAGCCAAAAAAGCTGAACGGACGTCCAAATGCATCTGTCTTGTGTGATTAGCCTATGGAACAACAGAAGATCACATCAGAAAACAAGTCTGATGTATTTGATTTGGAGTCTTAATTAACTCTGAACGCCTTCAGCTTCTGATTCTGGAGCTTTAGAAACTGAGATAATTGCATTACAGGTAATTGTGCCAACTTTATTCCTCACACAACCCAACTGTGGAATCATTCTCAGTTTCACTTGGTGGCTCAGGAAAATCTCTATTGTTCAGATATTAAAGGGATAGTTAATCCAAAAATCTAAATTCTGTCCTCATTTAGTCACTTTACACTTGTTCCTAACCTTTATGAGATTCTTTATATTCTATTTTGTTAAAAGGAGTTTATTTTTGAAAGAAAACTGATAACCTGTAACTATTGACTTCCACATAAAAAAAAAAAATCTGTGAAGTAGCAGTGGGATTTTGTGATTAATGTTTTGATTTTTCTCTATTTATTAAAACTTTTAAATTGCATTATGGGACCTTGATCTTTCTTCCAACAACCTTTAACCTTTAGGGTTGAAAAAGAGACTTTTATTAACATTTTTTATAGTTTAAGTGACATTGTCTGAGTTGGTGTTGTATATTACGCTACAAAAACCTTGTAATAAACAGCCAGTATATTTACTGTTATTTTACAGACTTATTGTCTACACTACCTGACAAAAGTCTTGTCACTTATCCAAGTTTTAGAAACAACAAATAATAATTTGACTTCTAGTTGATCATTTGGTATCAGAAGTGCCTTATATAAAAGGCAAAGGCCTCTAGATTACACTTACCAAAATAAAATATGATCATGATTTTAAATTATTTCATCAGGACAGTAAGCTCTGACATTGCTTAGACAAAAGTCTTGTTACTTAACAGAAATAATGTCCAGTATAGAATATAAAGTCATGCTGCAGAGGAGAAAGAATGAATATTGTGTCTGACTCCATCATGAGCTTGGAGGACTGCATCCATACATCTCTGCAATGACTCAAATCACTGATTAATAAAGTCATCAGTTATTCCCAGAGTTCATCAAGATCCTTTAGATTCATCTTTAATGCCTTTTCCTTCATCTTACCCTAAACATGCTCAATAATGTTCATATTTCGTGACTGGGCTGGCCAATCCTGGAGCACCTTGACCTTCTTTGCTTTCAGGAGCTTTGATGTGGAGGCTGAAGTATGAGAAGGAGCACTATCCTGCTGGAGGATTTGCCCTCTCCTGTGGATTGTAATGTAACGGTCAGCACAAATGTCTTGATACCTCAAGCTGTTGATGTTGCCATCCACTCTGCAGATCTCTCGCACGCCCCTATACTGAAAGTAACCCCAAACCATGAATATTGGGTCCATGTGGGTTCCAGTAGGTCTTCTGCAGTATTTGTAATAAGTGGGATGTAGTTCAACAGATGATTTATCAGGAAAATCTACCTTCTGCCACTTTTCCAAATGATCAACTAGAAGTCAAGTTATTATTTGTTGCTCTTACAACATGGATTAACGACAAGACTTTTGTCAGGTAAGGTATATGTGGCGAGAGCCGTGGGAACGGAATCAGGCCGCGCGTAAGTGGATGCACCTGTGGTGTGCACCGGTCTCGAATCCCACGGAAGGAGCTCTGGACTATAAGAGGAGGAATGATGGTAGAGGAAGCCGAGAGAGGACCGGGCCCGGGCATATTGTTTTACTTTTGCTTTCAGTTTGACAGCTGTCTCCGTGAGGAGCTGCCGTCCCTGTTATTAATAAATAATTTAAAAACTGCGTCGGTTCTCCACCTCCTTCTTCCCGGCGGCCAAAGGGCTGTGAACTTTATTACAGTATATTATTTCTTATACATTATATTA